TATTTTAAATATCCATCTTCAATAATTGGAGAAAGAGAAACATTATCATTTATGTTGTAAAATGCCTTAATTTTAAATACCTTTGATATTATTATACAATAATTTATATTTGTATTACTTTTTAGTTAATGAATTTTCTAATTGTTATAATAATTTAGTTAATTTAATATTTTTAATTGTTTAATTATTTGTAAATTTGTTAATAAATTTAACATTTTTATTATTTGAATACTTTTAAAAGTCATTATTATTATTTTACAATTATTTTGATGTATATTATTATTTATCAATGTATTTTACATATTTTATATTTATTTTGTTATTAAATTTTAAATAATTTATATTCTTCAATTAAAATTGTTAAATCATAAATGCATTAATAATTTTAGTATTTTATTTATTTTTCAAACAAACTTTTATAATTTTAAATGCCTTTGTTATCATTTTACAATTATTTAATATGTATTACTTTTTGTGTAATGTACTTTGCATATTTCATAACAGGGTAACATACAAAAACCTCCCTTGAAGTTTCTGACAATCATAAAACCTTCCCTATATTCCATTGTAATAAATACCTCCCCTGAACTTTTGAAAAACTCAACAAAAACCTCACTTCTATCATTGACCTAGACGGAAAACATATACATTTACAAAATCACCCCTGTGGCATCATTTAAAAAAAACATAAAATACCATATTTTCCCTGAGCAACATCTCTCAATTTCCCTAATTTCTGCTAATGAATAAGCACGAGCTGCCTACATCCATGGCCATCAAACCACTCTCATTCTAATGAAAGAGGAGATCCTCAGCTGAATTTGTTTATTTTCATTTGAATGAATTCTTTCTCCCACTTAAGCTCAAACATCTACCGTCCAAAAGATATACTGGAATACGTTTACCATTGATGTCACGCATCTGCACTTTCAAAATTTCAAAATCTTTAACCCATTTGGCATCATCTCCATTTAATTTGTTAGTCTGTGCTTTCTTCAGGGCTAACCACTACTCAATAATGTTGCTTCGTATTTTTTTTTGGAACTTCAAAAAGGCGATTAGGGCTCTGATGATAATTGATAAAGTCAACGGGAACTGATCAATTAGTAATTGTAATCAAYACTAAAGCCATTGGCTAATTCAACTAGTTTGCTGTGCAAAGGAGATTTTATGAGCAAAGAACCCAAAAAATAGACAGGATATGGTGTATATCCTTAGTAAAATGGTGACTTGACAAACTAGAATCTGATGGCAAAGTTATAACAAAAGCATTATCTTTACTTTGGACTTCAAATCTAAAACTTGTATAGGAACAAAGAGGCCAATACTCTCACCAAACAATGAATCTGATGTGGTTGTATAAATTGTTTGGACCCTAGGAAATTGCTTACCTAGGTGTTGTATAAACATTCAAAATTATCTTTAGTGTTCAGAGGAATTGAGGTAGTGGCTAAGAAAGAATGATATGTGATGGTGCACAACCTGGATGTCTTGCCCCCTAGTAACACTCATGTCAATAGCCTTGCCGGTATCCACTGAGTACAACAAAAAGTGAAGGTAAGTTGGGACTTAGCTTTTATGTACCGTATCCCACAGATGGCACCAAATGATGGTGCATGACCTAGATGCTCCTAGCTGGAGAGTACTGTCGATGTTACTTGCTTAATAGGACGATCAATCTGCAAGACGAACAGATCAGAGAACCCGGGGTGGCTAACCCAGCGAGGTCACTCCGATGCTTAAGTTAGTATTCGGATGTGCGAGCTGGAGATTGAGTGCTAGAGAGCTAGAGAGTAGTCAGATGTGCGTACTTCGATTTTGGGTGGTTGAGGCCCATATGTATGTGGGTGACTGTAGGTCTCGCGAAACGCTCCAGGATCTTCGCCCTAAGTTGTTGGGATCTGTTACTGGAAGGCGGGGATTCCGCTAACTGACGAGAGTTACTACTTCCTTTCGATTTGGAC